GCAAGCACTCTACCACTGAGCCACCTTCCCAGACCATACACAATTCTTGTGATGTTCAAATTCTGACTTTTTGACAGTCAGGAGTACATTTAAGTGCATACCTTTATGATTTTTTGTTGTTGTTGATTATGGGACTTTTACTCTGGGCCTGGGCACTGTCCCTCCAGCACCCAACTAGGAAATAACTTGTTTATTTATAAGATTACAAATTTGCTGGGTGCCAGTAGCTCAGACCTATAATTCTAGCTACTCAGGAATCTGAGATCTGAGGATCAAGGTTCAAATCTAACCCAGTCAGAAAAGTCTCTACGAGATTCCATCTTCAGTTAATACTAGATTGAAGGCATGGCTCCAGTATTAGAGCAACAGCTATAAATAAAAAAGTTAAGCAAGCTGGGTGCCAGTGGCTCACATCTGTAATTCTAGCTACTCAGGAAGCGGAGGTCTAAGGATCACAATTTGAAGCCAGCCAGGCTTATCTCCAATAAACTACTTAGAAAAGGCCAGTAATGGCACTGTGGCTCAAGTGGTAGAGCACTTGCCTCACAAGGAAAAGGCCCTGAATTTAAACCCCAGTACTCCCTGCCCCAAACATACACACAGGGGGAAAAAAAACACAGCTAAAGTAGTCTTGGAACAACGAGTATAATGAAACAGATTCTAAAACTAGCCTTAAGAATTTTGTATCCTCCATTATTTAGAGGTATATTTCATACTAGGAGAATAAAACAGTATCAACAGTATGCAATAAATGTGACTCATATATACCTAAAACACAAGCTACTTTATAGAGAATTCTACTTTGCAATTACTTCCTTGTACTTTTACAATGCTTAAGGATTTCTTTTTTTTTGTTTAGTAATTTAGCACCTTCTGATAAGATCTTAATAATCTCACAGCTCTGAGATTAAAATTCCCAGCTACTCTTACCAACTATCCACCTGACTGAGCAATTTAAAGGGATATGTCAAAAATACCAAATCAGGGCTGGGAAGGTAGCTCAGTATAGAGCGCTTGCCTTGCACGCATGAGATCCTGGGTTCGATTCCCCAGCACCACATAAGCAAAAAGAAAAAAAGCCGGAAGTGGTGGCTGTGGCTCAAGTGGTAGAGCGCTAGCCTTGAACTGAAGAGCTGAGGGACAGCGCCCAGGCCAAAAAAAATCAAAGCTAGGGAAGTATCTCAGTGATATAGAATGTGCAAGACTCCCGACTCACCCCAGCACTGCAAAAATAAAGAAAGAAAACATTCATACATAGTATTAAAAAAAAAAAAAAGAGCTCAAGTGGGTATATACCTCAGTGATAGGGCATGTTCATGAAGATCCTAAATTCAATCCTCAGTACTAAAGGAGGGGTGGGGGGAGGGCCTGGCCATAGAAGATTTCTTTTCCTAAAATTTAGACCTTCAAGTTTATAACACTGCTCATCAATACCATAATATTACATAAATGAAATTTCAAAGACATTAATGTATAAAATTTCCACTAAAATCCAGGTAAATCATTTGCTATTTTTATTTTTATGTAAACAAGTTTTTAAATTTCTATTACGTTAATAGTCTTATGCCATTCACACACTAACCTGGTAGAAATGCGACTAAAGACTGCATTGAAGTTGTTGCAGCTGAGAGAAAATAAAACCCCAGAGGCAGAATTCCGAAGTTCAGCTGCATGTTGGTTTCCTTCTCGACAGGTATGAAGAAAATGGCAGATTTCTGGCAACAACTGCTTTACCAACATGGTTTCATCTAATCTCATTGTGTCTTTTGGTTGCTAAAAGAGAAATGACTGCATAATTCTAAAACTTTAATTTTACCTGTGAACATTTTGCTATTATGAACATTTTCAAGCATACAGAAAAGCTGAAAAAGAATAACAAACACCTATATGGCCTTCACCTATATCCAACAATTATTAACATTTTGTCTTATTTGACACATCTATCTAGAGATGGTCTAATAAAGGTAGTTTCATCTTTCACCCTGTAACTAATAATTCAAGTCCAACCTTCAACTCATCCTTAGTATCTATCCACTCCATCCTTAGTATCCAAGTTCTATCCACCCAAATTGTTTGCTTTCTTTTTTAAAGAATGATCCTTTCCTTTCTGGAAATTTCCAATGTGTTGTGCGTTCTAAATAAATTGTACTTATTCACTGGTAAGTACATTATGTTGTTTGTCTCAACATCTAATTACATCCTGCAGACTAACCAAAACAGATATTACTTACCACACATATGGCAGTTTATTTTTTTCTTTTCCTTGGGTCCGGTCGTGGGGCCTGAACTCTGGGCCTGGGTGCTGTCCCTCAGCTCTTCAGCTCAAGGCTAGCGCTCTACCCCTTGAGCCACAGCGCCACTTCCGGCTTTTTTCTTTTTGCTTATGTGGTGCTGAGGAATTGAACCCAGGGCCTCAGGCATGCATGGCAAGCGCTCTACCACTGAGCCACCTTCACAGCCCCTGGCAGTTTATTTTAACTAATTCTTCTAGCTGCTGTACTTTCTGTAGGTAAACCCTAATGTTGGGTTTAACTAAGGTCAAGTGTTTTAAGTAATTCAGTAAAGTTCCTATTTCACCTATCAGTAGCATATAACTCCAGGTGGTCTCTTGTTCATGACAACAAGTTTGATGTCAGCAACTTGGGTGGGGTTTCTAAGGGGGGGGGGAGGAAATGGGGTTGTGCCAATCTTGGGGCTTGAACTCAAGAGCCTAGGTCCTGTCCCTGAGACACTTTTTCTCAGGTTAGCACTCTACCACTTGAACCATAGCACCACTTCTGGATTTTTCTGAGTAGTTTATTGAAGATGAGGGTCTTACAGACTTTCCTGTCCAGGCTGGCTTCAAGCCACAATCCTCAGATCTCAGCCACCTGAGTAGCTAGGTTTACAAACGAGAGCCACCAGCACCTAGCTGGTGTTAACATTTTGATCTCTACTTTGTAAATGTTTACTTTGCAAATAACCATCAAAGACAAGTCATCCTTAAAAGAAGCTGTTTCTATTTCACCTAGCTATTATGGTTTTGATATCCATATATGCATAAACAATCTTGATAATACTAAGCAAGCTAGCAAAGAACAAAATTTGTGTAATCTTGTTCTTTAGCCTATTCAAGTGCTTTCCTATATAAATACACAGAAATAAAAAAGGAGAGATTTAGAGATTTCTCAAAAACCTGTCATATTTGTTACAAGTTAATCAAACAAACCAGATATTGAAGCTAATCCAAATAAGTAAATTAAAATCAGAAAACTATTACATATTTTTAATAGTAATAGTATTGAGTAACATTCCTCTAACTCTACAAAGTTTTAATTATAATACTGATAAGTACCCTCCTTACTTATTCTAACCACTTACATGATAAATATGTACAATCTGTCCTTAAACTGCCTCTAATTTCATCTAAATATGAGATTCAAACATTAACAAAAGTATTATCAAGGTATTATTAGGTAAAAAGGAAAAATGTAAAATTAATAAGATGGAAATCAAAAGACAGCCATAAAATCACAGAAGAAAGCCTAACATAATATAACTTCTAGGATTACAGGTGTAATCCAGCACCTGACTATATTACTTTTAAATTATAATAATGATTTTTTTTATTTTTTGGTTGGTCGTGGAGTCTGAACTCTGGGCCTGGGCACTGTCCCTCAGCTCTTCAGCTTAAGGCTAGCACTCCGCCACTTGAGCCACAGCACCACTTCCAGCTTTTTCTGCTTATGTAGTGCTGAGGAATGGAACCCAGGGCTTCATGCATGCAAGGCAAGCACTACTGAGCCACCTTCCCAGCCCCATGAAAAAAATTTTAAGTGATACAAGTCTATGGATATAGCTCAGTGGAAGAGTGATTGCCAAGTATTATACCTAACCCTGGTTATAATCCTCAGCTCAACTTAAAACATTTTCAATAGTGAAACTGAACAGTGATACATACAATATATATATACATACACACTCATATATAGTACAAGTTATACAAGACCACTTGTGAGCATAACAATTTTTATTATCACCAAAGAACATTACATCAAACAAGGGCCAATAATAATTATCCACCCACACACATTTACCATTTCTTCTAAACTATCAGTGTCAATTCTGTGAAAACTGAAAAAGACAATACCTCCATTTAATCCTGGGTATGGATGATATACTGGTAATTCCAAAATAAAGAGTACTATGAAGAATTGATTCAAAAGCGTAAAACTACCCACCTTCATAGCAATGCTCGTATTCTTTCACTCCATTTAACAAATGAATAGTAAGTAGGAGATCGCAAATTAACACAAGAAACCAAATTAAAACAACTAGCTTATCCGCAGTTTAAATGTTTCACATAAACACTATCCTACAATTTTGGAACATAATTTGGAACAAAGCCAAGCTCAGTAAGAATTTAAGATAATACACTTAGATTTTCTGGCTTTGCTAAGAAAATTGTTGCGTGAATGTAATGACTTTCTTCTTGACCATATAACCAATGAGCCCTCACATATTAGCATCTCTTAACATCTCTTGGGTTCTAGGTTTACTATAAAGATCGTAACATGGCACAATGCCTATGTGCCTCTGATCATATAAAATAGTATTTAAAAAATAATATTTATCAAAATGAACTCCAGGAAATGGAAAAGAGATTTTCTCTTTGTTGTTTTTGTTTTCTTTTTATCTTGTTTGTTTCTCTGTCTTTGGGAGGGGAAAGGGGAACACAGAGATGGAGGGGAAAAGAATGAGCAAATACAGTGGTGGTACTCACTAGATACTGTTCAAAATAAACCATACAACTTATAGATGTGGATGGGAGGGAAAAACTGGGAATGTGTGAGGGAAGGAGTGACACTGTCCAAAAAGAAACATATTCATTACCTGACCTATGTAACTTTAACTCCTCTGTACCTTATAATAACAAAAAACAAAAATTTAAAAAGAGTTGCAACCTATACAAGAAAAATTACTGAGTAAAAGCAAATTTCTCCAAGTTCTGCCAAATGAAGAAAGAACTTAATAACTTGATTCTAATATATACAGAATAGACTGAATAGAGGTATTTAATTTATACATGTATATAAATTATCAATATTCTGTAAGAACTAAAGCTATTGAAGAACAGAAATATTTTTGCTTTGTACAACAGAAATCTTCATGAAAAAGTACAAATTAGGGCTGGGAAGATAGCCCAGCGGTAGAGTGCATGTCTTGCAAGCATGAGGCCCTGGGTTCAATTCCTCAGCACCACATAAACAGAAAAAGCCGGAAGTGGCGCTGGGGCTCCAGTGGTAGAGCGCTAGCCTTGAGCTGAAGAGCTGAGGGACAGCGCCCAGGCCCAGAGTTAATGCCCATGACCAGCAAAAAAAAAAGTACAAATTAACTTATTAAAATACACTGATTTCTTAGAAGAAACCTGGAAAACACTATTTGGCGCAACTAACTCCACATACCTGTTCTATTGCTCATATTTACACAAAATCAATGTTAAAATGCTATTTCCTTCCAACAGAATCAGTTCAATTTTCAAGGACCCTTTCATTCACTCACACACACACACACACACACACACACAAATCTTTTTTGTTGTTGGTCTTGCTCTGGGCTTGGGTCCCTCAGCTCTTCAGCTCAAGGCCAACACTCTACCACTTGAGCCACAGAGCCACTTCCAGTTTTCTGGTGGTTAATTGGAGATAAGAGTCTCAGGGAGTTTCCTCTCCCGGCTGGCTTTGAACCACGATCCTCAGATCTCAGCCTCCTGAGTAGCTAGGATTACAGGCGTGAGCCACCAGCACCCAACTAAAATCATATTTATACAGGAACATTCTTTCACAGTTCTGCAATGGCACAGGCTTAACAAAATCTGAGAAGTTAATTAAAACTAATAGTGATTAAATCACAAAAACATTCTCTAAACCAGGGCTGGGAATGTGGCTTAGTGGGTAGAGTGCTTGCCTAGCATTCACGAAGCCCTGGGTTCGATTCCTCAGTACCATATAAACAGAAAAAAACGGGGCTGGGAAGGTGGCTCTGTGGTAAAGCGCTTGCTTTGCATGCATGAGGCCGTGGGTTTGATTCCTCAGCATCACATAAGCAGAAAAAGTTGGAAGTGGTGCTGTAGCTCAAGTGGTAGAGCGCTTGCCCTGAGCTGAAGAGCTGAGGGACAGCGCCCAGGTCCCAAGACCGACAAAAAAAAAAAAGACAGAAAAAGCTAGAAGTGGCACTGAGGTAGCATTGAGCAAAAGAAGCTCAGGGACAGTGCCCAGGCCCTGAGTTCAAGCCCCAGGACTAGCAAAAACAAAGAGAGAGAGAGAGGGAGAGAGAATATAAATCCCTGAGCTCAAACCCCAGTGTCAACATCAAAAAGAAAAAAAGAGATTTACTTACCCCAGCAAGACATTTTTCCAGTGTATCCAATATAATCAATTGAGAGAGATACAAATTTTTTTCAGCAGCTTCTCCAAATATCCTCTATAAAAAGAGATATTCAGCACACAAAAGTTGGTTATCACTCTCCATACATTTAGCAAGCATCTGAAAAGTGAGGCACTGAGGAACAAGAAAAATCAATAATCTTCCACTTTATCTTCTAGATTATACTATATCTAAACCTATTGTTTCTATTTTACCTTAATCCTCACAAAATAAATTACTGAACAAAAATGAAAGCATTCATTATAATCTGCCATTCATTATCTCTGTAATAGTTAAAGACATTGCTTTTAGTTTATGTTGATTTAAAGATCTGTACTAAAATCTTGAACTGATCATTTAAACAAATTCTCATTCTGCAAAATTGAAGCCTTCGTATGAAGACAAAATTCTACTACCAATTAGTGCATCTTTGTTTGTTTGTTTTTGGGTCCTGTCATGGGCTTGAACTCTGGGCCTGGGCGCTGTCCCTCAACTCTTCAGCTCAAGGCTAGCGCTCTACCACTTGAGCCACAGCACCACTTC